TTGATGACCAAAGATGATACAAGTTGATAATCAATAAGGATAGTTACTGCAATGAACGAACACATATCAAGTATGTTGTTTGTTTGTGTTTTTTTGAGGAAGATTAGCCCTGAGCTAATTGCTGCCAATCCTCCTCTTTTCACGGAGAAAGACTGGCCCTGAGCTAACATCCGTGCCCATCTTCCTCTACTTCATATGTGGGATGCCTACCACAGCATGGCATGCCAAGCGGTGCCATGTCCACACCTGGGATCCGAACAGGCGAACGCTGGGCCGCCAAAGCGGAATGTGCACACTTAACCACTGTGCCACCAGGCTGGCCCCTACATCAAGTATGTTTAAATGCATGAGCTCCTAAAGTTACTTAGACCTCAAAACACCAATTAGCCTTTTTTGAAGGTAACTAGTGAACCAATTCTTTATTTTAAAAATTAGTATACAGAGGGAAAGAAAAAAGAATACATCTTGTCTTTCCTATAAAACTCGTACTAAGGGTAACCAAATAGTAAATACATGGAAGTTTCTTTCACCAAAATATTCCAGCTAATAAATGAAAAAGAATGACAAAATTAAAATGCTGCCACTGTACAGCTCGTATGTTTTCATCTAATTATTTCTTTAGTTAGAGGACTTGGTTTTCAATGCTTTGCACATAATAATTTCAATAAATAACTGAGTTACAGTTTTAGGTGAGAGAGCTACAACTAATGAATCACTATAGATTGGAACAATAAGTCGAATACATAGTTCCTTGGGCTCCATAATCAGCTGCCTTTTCTATTACGTCAAAAAGTCACACTATTCAGTTTTACTTATAATCCATAGCCCAATAACATCAACACTATAATTTTTAGGGAAGAATACCTTGATGTGACAGTGAGAATTTTATACTGCCTGTATTAGTTTGCTAGTGCTACCACAACAAAATATCATAGACTAAGTGGTTTAAACAATAGAAATTTATTTTCACATAGTTCTAGTGGTTAGAAGACTAAGATCAAGCTGTTGGCAGGTTTAGTTTCTTCTGAAGCCTCTCCTTTGGCTTGCAGATGGCCACCTTCTCAAAGTCCTCACATGGTCTTTTCTTTGTGTGTGAGTGCCCCTGGTGTCTCTTGTGTCAAAATTTCCTCTTCTTAAATGGACACCAGTAAGACTGGATTAGGATCCACCCTAAGGGCCTCATTTTAACTTAATCATCTCTTTAAAGACTCCACCTCTAAAGTCACATTCCAAGCCTATGGGATAGGGCTTCAATGTAGGAATTTTGTGCAGACACAATACAACCCACACGCTGCCAATTCAGCAGACCAAATGAAGAGAATGATGTTAAGGCATACATTTCATTACGTGATCCTAAGTTTTCCCTATGACTTCTACCTTATTCAAAGCAGGGAGAGGTTGAGGGTAATTATTTTGGTGAAAAGGTGAAATAATGGAGCCAGAATATGAAGAGCTATCACTCATCTATTCACTTGGCTTTTGCTGGGCTACAGATCAAACATGAATTTGTTAAATGCCTGGAAACTAAACTGAAACCTCACATTTTTTGCTCTACTATCTCCAATTGAGGTAAAAAATCAGGAACTCACTGTATCCTAATCATCCCCAAATCCTCAGAGGAAACTATCTGTGTTTCATTGTTTGTTTCACCTCTTACTTCAACAGGGATGAATTAGTACTGTCCTGTGCATAACGCAGTTGGTAAAGAAACATATAAACAAGTGATATGTCAAAGATGCTGATGAATCAGCCAGGAACATCAGAAAGGTTTCTGGAAGAAGTGACCCTTACACAAACTGCATCTTGAGAGTTTGGCAGGAGCTAGTCAAGTAAAGAAATGAGGCAAATGAACCACTATAAACAAAGACACATTGATAGGAACCAGAGGGAATGTGGGGGAGCTAAAAGCACCCCAGTATTAACCAGAGTGAAAATGTGGAAAGCAAGATGAGAAATAAGGGCTAGGAAGAAGCCATATCATTCCCATTTTATAAATAATATTAATCATAGAGGCTAAGCAGGGTTGACCAAGGACACAAAACTAGTGATTCACAATAAATTTAAGTCCAAATACTTCACTTAGCGGAGTGACCCAATTTTCCCACGTCATTCCTGGTTTATAACTGTTGTCTCTACATCACTATTAATGGGGCCTTCTTTTACTCCATAATGCTCTGATTTAGGGGGATATCTTCACCCTACCTCCTAAGCCACCATGCTGTATTTTTCTAGACTGAAGAAAACTAGGGTTTCATTAACTTCTCTTATTCATTAATGAAATTAATTGCTGAAAGAGATAATGCTGGTAAAAATAATCATGCATTTGGAAGGGTTTTGGGTATCATCACCTTAACAAATAACCCATTATATACTAGGGATAAACTGTCTTTTATAAAACATTGTCATTACAAGTCAATATGACCTCAATAAAACAATATTACAAAAACATACTGTCATTATTTAAGAAAAGAATCTCAGACGGCAGAAAGAGCAAAAAAAGGAAAAGTCGTCATTCTTCTAATTTTAATTTGGTTCAAAGAAACTATGGACTTAAACACTTCAGTTATACCAAAGCCACCAATTCAAACTGCCTAAAGAAAGACAGTTAGATCAGCAGAACTCTAGTCAACCTCTGCCAAAACAGGTCATTTTTGTTTCCACAAGTCCTCTGAAAAACATATTCCACGTTCTACCCTCCAAAAAAATAAAAAGTTGTAGTTACTCTACTGAAAATATTAAAACCTGTAGCAGATTGCTTATTATGGCTCCTCATACTTATTTACTGGCATGTAAAAAACTGAATATGCCAGGGGCTGGCCCCGTGGCCGACTGGTTGAGTTCACGCGCTCTGCTGCAGGCGGACCAGTGTTTCGTTGGTTCGGGTCCTGGGCGCGGACATGGCACTGCTCATCAAACCACGCTGAGGCAGCACCCCACATGCCGCAACTAGAAGGACCCACAAGGAAGAATATACAACTACGTACTGGGGGGCTTTGGGGAGAAAAAGGAAAAAATAAAATCTTTAAAAAAAACCCAAAAAACTGAATATGCCAGATACTTGCTTTTCCCAGCACAGACACGTGCAAAGGACCAAGCTCAGGCCAAGGGAAGTCCCTCAAGGGGGAATCTGCTGCAGTCAGACGGCTCTCCGTGAAGGCTCCCCTCCCTGACACACACACAGTATGGAGAACACACTTTCTACTCCCCACCTACTTCTTAATTTATTCTTGGGTGTGCATTTGTAAAAACACAATTCAGGAGTTATGGCAAGCATCTTGTGACCAGGAGGGGACGGGCTAAGAAAAAAGTCCATATTTGGGAAAGGTATAAAATGAAAAAGACTAAAAGACTCCAGGCCCTTAATGACATCATCAAGTAGCATAATAAAGCTGAATACCCTTCCTCTAAACTATGTTATTATCCTTTATAAAACATGCCTTTACTCTTTAGGTCATTTTAAATTTGGTATTATTACCTGCAGCTAAAATCAACCCAACTGACACAACGGGTTATCAATCAAGTCTATGTGAGGAAACTATTCAGGACAATTATTATCTTTTCAAACTCAGAAGCATAACAAAAAAAGGAAATATAAGGATTAAACATCTGAAGAAAGAAGTCAGGTTTTCATTTTCCCAGAAGAGATAAATGAGATAATGGTCAAAAGTCAATACATACTGAGTACGTTCTATGGGCCAGGGACTACGCTGATGAGTTACCTCAGTTAGCCCTCACAACAAACCTAGGAAATATTATGCTTATTCCACAGAGGAAAAAACTGAAGCTTACAAAAGTTAAACAACTTGCCCAAGATCAGATCCCTTGAGAGTGGTTGAGGAAGCCTTCATAAGCCACATCAGATGACTCCAGAGCCTAACTACCAAGTATTTAAGAACAGCTGAAGATAAATGCACATTAGCTATTTTTTCTATGAAGAAGAGATCTAAGATCTCTGTTGAGCATGAAAAGAACAGAAAGGAGTAAGGAACTTGAGAACCATGATTATAATTAGCAACAACCACTATTGTTTTGCAATGGCAAAACCAAATTTTTACACATAATGAAATCAAGGCCCAGAAAGAGAAAACAAATTACCAAAAGATGTAGTGCAGGTTAGTGTTAAAGTTAGTAATAAAACTGAAGTAACTCAGACCTTCCGATTTCCAGGCCAGAGCACTTTTCATTTCACCAAACACTGCCTCCCCCTTAAACTGATGTACTCTATCTCCAATACACAAGGGGGAAAAAAGTGAAATGTACAAAGAAATAAAACTATGAAGAGAGATTCACAGAGTAGAACTCCCACATTTAATATTTATTAGTTGATAAGTTTTGATGTGAGCAAATAGACAACAAAACTGTTTATGGTGTTAGATACATAGTATTGAGAAAAAAATAATTTACTGAAAAATTATTTTGTCAGGAAATCTATATCTCTGTTAAACGCTTAAAGAATCAGATTTTATGGGAAAGTACTCACCCATTAAAGGTAGTTAAGAATACACTGACTATTTCTCACTGAATTTTCTAAACAACATTTTTAGAAAACAGTCTTACTAAAAACAAGCATATAAATACAGTGACTAACTGAGAACTGTGTATCATATTCTCCTTACAGCAAAGTGACCTAATCCAGATTTATCGTTAATTTCCCCTAACAATTCATAATTACATAGGAATAGACTAGATTGCTAAATATTAACCTAAAATCATTTGACAATGCTCTACATGTACTCAAAAGTAAAGGAGACAGTGATGGAGAATGTGTACAAAGACTCATATCAATACAAAGTACCAAAAGCCAAAGGGTGCGGAGACAGAAAGAGGATCTCACACCGAGAAACTCAATATTTGGATTCCCAAGAACCACTTATTCTCTTTCCTGGGAAGAATAATTTTCATGAATTAAGGTAACATAAGAATTCACTCATTTATCTTTAACAGCAATTTCTATAAAATCTCAGGTCTCTAAAGCAGTGTTTGGATAAAAGTAGGCTTACTCTGCAATATCGAGATATCCACAGGAAGCAGCTGCATGTAGTGGTATCCAGCCTTCATTATCAGGTTGATTAATATTTGCTCCATTTTCTACCAGAAACTTCACCATATCAACATTGTCATCAATGCAAGCCTAAAAACAAAACAGAGAGCGTGATTAGAAAAAATTTGAATCAACACTCCCAATAATACATCAATAGAATTAAATTGCTACTTTGAAGCTTTTATAACATAAATATTCTCTGTAAATTAGTCTGTGCTATCTTGACCGTACTGCCATAAAAGAGGCCAATGATACCAACTAAATTGTGAAAGTCCTTGCTTACATATACATACAACAGTACTGTACGTGACTAGACTCCTTATGCCAACTCCATGAGGAAAACAAGTACATATTAAAACACAAACAATCAAAACATTATAATTAAGTACCAATAATATCCTCTATAGTAGTAGTTTCCAAAATGTGGTCTGTTGAGGAAAGTGGCATCCTTTCAGGGAGCTGACAGAGTCAAAACCATTTTCAAAATAATACTAAGATGGTATTTCCCCTCTGGACTGCGTTGACATGTGCACTTCAGGGTGCAAAAGCACTTGCAGTAAAACTGCTTGTGCCTTAGCACAAATCAAGGCGGTGGCAAAAAAACCCTCTACTGACAGTCATTGTATTCACCACTACATACTCACAATTTAAAAAAAAAAGCTATCTTTACTTAGGAATGTCCTTGACAGAGCAGTAAAAACTATAAATTTTATTAAATTTTCACCTCTGAACACACAATCTTCTTACATTCTGTGGAACAAGATAGAAGTATGCATAAAGCATTTCTTCCGAGTACAGTGACTACCCCGAGGAAAAGCCCCTGTGCCACTGAGTCACAAGCTGAACTAGCCATTTTTTCACGGAATATCATTTTTACTTAAATGACAAACTATAGTTAGTCTAACTTGGATTTCTGGCAGAAATTTTCTTGAAAATGAACAAAGTAAGTCTGTCATTTCAAGAAAAACAACTAACAGTATTTGTTGCCAACTATAAATTCAAACTTTCAAGAGCAAATGAATTATTTCAATTAAAAATGGTGTCTATGTAACATGGATAAAGTATTACTATTTTAAAATGAATACTTGAAATCCTCAGTTTTAACCTCTAGTATTATAAATACTAACTCATACATACCACCCACAGAAACAAAAGCTCTGTGGGGTCCTTCAATAATGGTTAAGAGTATAAAGGGGTCCTGAGACAAAAAAAGTTTGAGAACCACAGCCTATTGTAAATAAGAAGGGAACTTTTATCAACGCTTACTTATAGTGCCAGGTAGTGTGATTGGTGCTTTATCTATTTTACTGATTTATATACATTATCCTCACAAAAAGCCTCATGAGAGCAGGAATTCTGCTGTATCCACAGCACCTTATACAGTTCTTGGCATGTGATAGGGGTTCAATAAATGAATGAATAAATGAGAAAGCTAAGATTCAAAGAGATTAAGTAGCTTGAATAAGCCACACAGGCAGGAAATCACAGAGCTAAGATTCCAACATACACGTTCAGATTCCAAAAAATAAGCTCTTTCCACAGATGTTCCTAGTTTATCAATGCATTTCTCACCTATTTGCCATCTCTGCAACACGGTATCATACACTGTAGGCACTTAATAAATGAAACCAATTTTCCTTTACCTATCACAAAAGCAAAAGAAAATGCTTTCAGTAGCATTCTCTTAGGGAGAAAAAACCCGACAAAGTCAGCGGCAAGAAAAGCACTAAAGACAAAGTATTTTACATCTAAAGTGGAAAAGCACTGATGGGGGAACCACAGCTTTTGGCTCTAGGCTTTCATTCTGGCTCTGCCACAAATTTTGTGGCCGTGGACAAGCAATTCAATCTTTTTGGACTTTGGTATCTTTATCTTTCAAGGCAAAGGAAGGAGCTGGTGGGTTATCTATCTCTAAAATTTCCTAACATGTTTAGCATTCTTACGTGTCCACGACGCCTGGAACAAGTTATAAGCAACCTGACGGCAAGGTCCCAAAGTGCCCAGAAAAGTACCTTACACATAGCAGATGGTAAATGAGTACGTAAGTACCATTTACATGGATTTTAAGTATACACTGCTGGGGAAAAGAACTGTGTTTTTCAAGCAGCAGTGGTTAAAGTAAGGGTAGGAGAGATTTGAAAACCACAGGTATCTAATAATAAAAGAAGAAAGGTCAAAATTCTATTATATTAGAAAGTAGTTTATAAAATGTTATTTGAAAATAGCTAAAGAATTACAGTGGCTTGAAATAATATTAGACCTATTTATAAGCTTAATCATTAATTTTCCTTGAGAAAAGATATTAAATTCTTTTCTCCTTTTCTCTCAACCTCTTTTAATTCCTATAGGCTCCAAAACAGTATTCTGATTTTTTTATCATCAACATAAAAAATATAAAACTCAATAAATGTATCTAATACAAATATTGTTTTTTAAAAATGGAGAATAATGTCAAGCTAACAAGAAATGATTCTTTATAAAGGGATATGGGAAAATGCTCCAACATATTAAGTTTTAAAAAAAGGATGCAAAACAGTTTGCCTAATATGATTCCAATTTTACTAAAAAATATGTACTCAAAAAGACTGGAAGAATATATATTGAAGGTTAATAGTCATTATTGACGATTGTGAGACTATGAATAATTTTATTTTCTTTAAATTTTCCTTTATTTTCAAAATGTTTACAATGAATACGCAGTGTTTACATAAAAAGAAAATCTAAGACAAATCTTAAATGAAAAACATTAAATCTACTGCTAGCGTAAAGTGTAAAATTCACACAACTCCTTCAGAAAACCATTCGATACTATCTACTAAAGTTACATAGAATTGATAAATGAATGGGGTGGTGTGTACGTGTGTGTGGGGAAGATTCTATTCATGTAATAAATCCTATACATCAATGAAAAAAGAACATCAAACAAAAGAACTACTGCTACCTTCAACAACCTGGATGATCCTCACAGACATACAGGTGAGTGAAAAAAGGCAGACACAAAGGATACATGCTGTAGGTTTCCAGGCAAAACTAATCTCTGGTGATAAGGCTCAGAATCATGGTTAAACTTCTGGGAAAATGATGGGAGAGGCCACGAGCAAGCTTTCTGGAGGACTGGTAATGTTCCCTATCTTTCCGATTTTTACATAGTTATATACATGTGTAAAAATTCATTGAATGGTACACTTAAAAGCTGTGTATTTTACTGTATGTTAATTATACCTAAATTAAAAAGCAAAAAAAGAAAAACTAGGCTACCATTTATTGAAACTCTACTACGTGTTACCTACAGTATAAGACACTTTATTTCTCTAAATTGTATATGTAAAAATATGCCTTCCTTTAATTTCTATCCTCTACCTCCTAAAGCTCCAAATGTCCAATGGAATCTCTCTTTTAACTGATAATCTTTCAATATTATGAAGACTTCCCGCCCCCAAGAATTCTCACATATTCTTTTTTAGGTTAAATAGTCCTAACTCCTTTAGCTACTCTTCGTATTATATATGCTAAACACTATATATGCCAAAGCCTTAGGAATACAGGGAAGGGAAACGGTTACATTACATAAGATAGGAGGCTAGTCCATAAATAACAATGATCATATAAGGACATGATAGCAGTGGGTAGAAAGTTCTAAAATACCACTGGAGACATAAAGGGATCTTCTTGTGCCTAAGATAGCCCAAGACTACATAACATTTGTTCATCTAGCAAGTCAAATAGAAGGAACTTCACTGAGCAAATGCACTGTGATTAAAAAATGCATGGACTAAAACAAACAGCAAGTCGAGGATCTGTAAGCTATAAAAACAGGGTACGGCCAGGTGGTAAAAAGTCTGAATCTACTGGAGGTAAAAGATCTGAATATAATGCAAAGATGACTGGATTTGATACTATAGGTGGTTTTCAACCCACTTTCTACTCCCACACATCAAGGGAACCTGCTCCACTTGCATCAATAACAGTGGCTCAATTCAGCAGTAGGGGGAAGTAGAAGAAAACATTTTAGAATTTCAAGATGATGATGTCTCTAAAAAGCCTATTCAGAGTTTTTAAGCAGAGGGGTGACATGATCGGATTAGTATTTCAGAAAGATTACTAGAAGCAATATAAAGAGGGAAAAGCCTGAACTGAGCAATAGCAGTTACTCAGCAGGGATCTTCAGGAGAAAATGTGCAAAGCTTAATTAGAGATTGTATATGAAGAGTGAGGGACAGGGAGAAGCCATTCATGAAATACCACAGGCTCAAAGAGCAGGCAGGAAAACGAAAGATGATTTTAGCTTTGGATATGCTGAACTTCTAAGTGTCTGTATACCTATGTAGCCACGCATATCCTGTGGCCAACTGGGTATGAAGATCTAGCACTCTGGAAATAAATGAGGAATGAAAAGATAATTTGGGAATTATCTGCATTAAGGTAATAACTAAAACAATGGGACTTCAAGTCACTTAGGGCAACAATGTAGAGAAGTGATTATGAAAACAGTAAAAGAAGGGTTAAGATTAAATTATGATCAGTATATTCTACTTGGAAGACAAAGATATTTGTGGTATTTTATTTAGTTAGTTAAAGAGACAAAGTTCTCAAGAAGTTCACCATGTAGTACAGAAGACAAATACACAAGCACATAATTATATCAAAAGCAATCTGATAAACCCAGCTTTAGGGCTGTGCACTGCTCACTGTGGAGGCTCAGAAAAGGAGAAACCAGGGAGGAATAGTTGGTAGTGAGGGAGTATTTCCTGGAGGAGGTTCTACACCTGAGCCTAACACATAAATAGGTGATAATCACTTCCTGGTGCATGAAGATGCAAAATTGCATATGGTGAGGATAAAGGTAAGCAAAATCCAGAATAGATCTTACTTGCCTTATCTTATGAGCAATTCCTTGACATTGAAGATAAAAGAATTTCAGGACAAACGGTTAATTTTTAAAGTTTCGCCATTTTAAGAAGGTGGTTGCCTTGGTTCTTTGAAAATATTAACATAGGAATAGCTATTTCCCAATAAATGAAAGTTGCTGATTTTAATTTAAAATGTTTATGTTTTTAAGTCAGTATAGTGTAAAAAAACACCAACAAAAA